TCCTAACATATGCCAGAAACAGATCTCTCTGGAACACTTTTTTGAGCGACAGGGATCCAGTGACTCAAGTTGGTCCTAGTAGCATTAAAAAACAAAGGAGGGAAGTAACCCAGGATAAGGACTTGGTAGCTGAAATCTTTATGGAGTGGGATTCTCCTTCCAAACATCCTCCATCTTCTCCCCTCCTCTTGTCTTCTATATATCACCATGTCTTCAATAAAGGTAAGTGTGATGTTATTATTGTTTTATTCTTCATGTATCATTGTTTTCTGTGTAGTAAATGTATATTTCATGTAGAAAACATTTTTTTAATACACTTTTGGGTGTCTGAAACGGATTAATTGGATTTCCATTATTTCTCATGGGGAAAATTAATTCGGAATAAGTCAGATTCGGGATAAGTCACGCTCTCTGGAACAGATTAATCACGCAATCCGGGGGTCCACTGTATACATTTAAAGCATCCCATAGCAATTATTATTATTAATAACAACAATATGGTGTCTTCAAGACTAGTGAGACACTCTTAATATTAAGTTTTTAGTGTGTACCTGCACACCAGCACAGTGTTTAAGTTTATTTAGGTAAAAGTAGGTCTTAGACAGGGATGTGTAATGTCACCATGGTTGTTTAATATTTATAGATGGGGTTGTAAAAGAAGTAAATGCTAGGGTGTGGAGAGGGGTGGGATTAAATTATGGGGAATCAAATACAAAAATGGGAATTGACACAGTTACTTTTTGCTGATGATACAGTGCTTATGGGAGATTCTAAAGAAAAATTGCAAAGCTTAGTGGACGAGTTTGGGAGTGTGTGTAAAGGTAGAAAGTTGAAAGTGAACATAGAAAACAGTAAGGTGATGAGGGTATCAAATGATTTAGATAAAGAAAAATTGGATATCAAATTGGGGAGGAGGAGTATGGAAGAAGTGAATGTTTTCAGATATTTGGGAGTTGACGTGTCAGCGGATGGATCTATGAAGGATGAGGTTAATCATAGAATTGATGAAGGAAACAAGGCGAGTGGTGCGTTGAGGTATATGTGGAGACAAAAAACGTTATCTATGGAGGCAAAGAAGGGAATGTATGAAAGTATAGTAGTACCAACACTCTTCTTATATGGGTGTGAAGCTTGGGTTGTAAATGCTACAGCGAGGAGGCGGTTGGAGGCAGTGGAGATGTCCTGTCTAAGGGCAATGTGTGGTGTAAATATTATGCAGAAAATTCGGAGTGTGGAAATTAAGAGAAGGTGTGGAGTTAATAAAAGTATTAGTCAGAGGGCTGAAGAGGGGTTGTTGAGGTGGTTTGGTCATTTAGAGAGAATGGATCAAAGTAGAATGACATGGAGAGCATATAAGTCCGTAGGAGAAGGAAGGCGGGGTAGGGGTCGTCCTCAAAAAGGTTGGAGGGAGGAGGTAAAGGAGGTTTTGTGGGCGAGGGGCTTGGACTAATACGCATTAACTTTAACCCTTTCAGGGTTGGTGCCGTACTAGTATGGCTTACGCAGCAGGGTTAGTGCTGTACTAGTACGCATAAATTCTAGCGGCCTCAAATTAAGCGAGAAACAGCTGGTAGGCCTAGATGTGAGAGAATGGGTCTGTGCGGTCAGTGTGCGCACTAGGAAAAAAATCGGGCACCCAGTGGTGCATTATGGGAATGCCATTTTAGTACACCTTGCTCACCATGCCTTGCGGTAAGAAACACCTCACTCCTTGGCGAACTGGGACACTTTTGTTCCCCAGTGACAGTTCTAATACAGATGGAAGTGTCAGTGAAGATGACTTTCAAGGTTATCGGGAGGTTGTGACCAAAACTAAGGACCATAATACCGGTAATAGTGAGGAAAATCCAGATGACCCTCAACCTTCCACCTCTGATGTTGGGTCGTCTTGTTCACGTTTGGTTGCACCAGAACGAAAAAGGAAACTTGTATTTTCCCATATCCAGGACTCAGATGTGAGCAATGGTGATGATAGTGATAGTGAATATGAACTCCAAGCTTTTGAAAACAGTTCCAGTAGTGAGAGTGAAGTGGAATATTCTCCAATGAAGCATCAGTATATACGACGGTATATGCGATCTGGAAGTGCGCCATATGCTATTCCAAGGGTAAGGAGTACATCTTGGAGTACATCCCGTGACTGTACAACAGGCACAGATAGTGAAAATGAAGATGATAGCGCTGCAATTGGGTTGAGAAATGTGGATGCGGCAGCAGATGATAGTGGTTATAGTGGGGCCAGCCATGAGGCATCAGCAGTGGGCCATGCTGTTACCCACACCGCTGAGTCAGCTCAGCTACAACAAAGACCAACCTCACCCACCCACCAACCACACCAACCTCCACAACCACAATATCCACAACCACCTGTCAGTATCCAGTACCCACCAGCAGACCACACCTAGGATTGGCAGGAAGCTGCCAATTTTGTTCCCAATCCCCATCACTTTGATGAAAGTCAAAGTGGAATACGGACATCTTGTACACTTGGGAACAATGCCACTGAACTGGAATATTTCGAGTTATTCTTTGATGAACCCCTGATGGAAATTATTGTCAGGGAGAGCAACAGCTACTTCAATTACACCATGGCAAACACAATACTTTCACCAAAATCACACCTACACCAGTGGAAGGAGACAACTGTGGTTGAGATGTATCTTTTGTTTGCCACAATAATGCTTATGCCACATGTGTGTTTAAGCACAGTGTCAAATCATACTGGTTGAAAGACCACCTGATTGCAACCCCAGGTTTCAGCGATATACCACTGAATCGATTTTTGCTGCTGTTACGTATGTTTCACTTCTCAGACAAAACCAGGCCTGACAGAAACAACAGGTTATATAAGATTAGGAATGTGTTTGTGTATCTGAAACAGAAATTCAATATGTATTTTTATCCCTTCAGGAAGCTTGTTATTGACGAGTCTTTGATTCTGTTCAAAGGAAGAACACCATTCAAGCAGTATATACCAAGCAAGAGGAAATGCTCTGTATAAAGTTGTTTGTGCTTTGTGATTGCTACAGTGGTCTTGTACTGGATATAATTGTGTACACTAGAAGTAATACATTGCGAGATACCAGGAAGTTGCTGGGTATCTCTGGTGATGTGGTTAGAACAATGATGGAACCATATCTTGGTAAGGGGCATATATTATATACTGATAACTGGTACACAAGCCTTTTACTCAGTGATTTCTTGTGAGTGAACATGGCAGATGTGTGTAGCACTGTGCGTGCAAATCAAAAACATATGCCCAGGTTCAACGCTGGCACTCGTAGAGGTGAGGTGCAGGTGTTTGCTGCCAATGACATCATGGCATTTCGGTGGCATGACAAACAAGATGTCACACTGCTGTCATCAGTTCACCCTAACAAAATGGCAGACACTGGCAGGCAGCATAGAGAGATCAATGAACCTATTCTAAAACCTGCAGCTATGATGGACTACACCCTCGATATGCGTTCAGTAGACAAATGTGACAGGCAGATTTGGTTTGCTGACTGTGTTCGCAAGAGTTATAAGTGGTACATAAAACTCTTTTTCCATATTCTGGACATTTCCATGCTCAATGCTTATAGCATGCATAAGATGAGGACCAGAAATAAACCACCATATGGCAAATTTTGTTTGTCTGTCATCAGACAAATAATAATCAAGTAATAAGGAACAACACCTGCAATAGAAAACCGCCCACGAAATTATCAACAACTGCCTTCTCGTCTGAGGCCTGGTGATCATTTCCTAATGAAACTACCTGCTACTGCTTTCAAGAAAAAGGCTCAGAAGAGGTGTTACATCCGTGCACATACAAAAAAAAATGCCCACAACAATGCAGAGACACTCATTTTATGTGTGAGGAGTGTAAAACACCATTGTGCATGACACCGTGTTTCAAAGACTTCCACAGGCTGCAGAACTTCTAAGAACATGTCCAGTGACTGTATATATGTATCTATAATATAGAAAAATTGTAATAAACAACATTTCATTTTGTTCATTTGTGTAAACATGTTTTGTAAACAATAAAATGACAACAGTGTTTGTGCAGTGATTGTGTAATATAGAAAGAGTGAATATATACAAAATAGTCCTTCTGTTGGTCTCACAGGCCATAAAAGTTACTTGAAAAGAAAAAATATTAAAAAATAATAGAAAAAAGTAGAAAAAAAAAAAAAATGGTTACCGGTGACCGGCAGTCGGCGATGTTGCCATATGCGGTTCAATTTCTGCCAGCTCCATGCCTCCATATCTCTGTAAGTATTAATGGCAAAAAAAAAAATTTTTAGCCTATAAGATTTAGAAAGAAAAAAAAAAACTATCTTTTCACAAGAATTTTTTTTTTTCGAATATTTTTCAACCCTGAGAACAAGTTTGAGAGAGGGCCTGTCGACCCTGAAAGGGTTAAAACACTTAAAATTATGGAAAGCTTCCAGACATAATGGAGAGACACAGAGCTCACGAAGGATGTAAACAGAGTGGCACACGGTGGCCACATTAGCGAGTCACGTAAGTGGAGGGGAGCCATATAACGAGTCTTGGTCATAATCTGAAATATCCGTATTAGCAAAACACCATAAAGAGGGGCCCTACTGTATAGTTTTGAGAATATGTTCCTTGACTTTCAGTATTTAACTGTACCAAACTATGTTGTGCCTAGTATGTATAGTATTTAATATGCATAGTCTAACATTCCCAATTATAGAGAAACTATGGCAGTGATATCTACATAGCTTGTGCTACTAGGTCAGATGCTGTGCTCCTTCCTTAAGTGACATGAGTGACCTGACTAGGTCAAGGCATTGGGTTAAGCCGGTGGGAGAATTGGACCTGCCTCGCATAGGCCAGTAGGCCTGTTCCAGTGTACCTTTTTTCTTATGATCTTATAATACTTTTATATAAGGAAATATTATATATAGCTTTTCTACTGTTAGACAATATTATAACTAGAGCTTCTCCAAAATGGTGTATCTCTATATTACTTTACATAAATTTACCATTGGTTTTGGCAAGTTGTAAAGCTGTCTTGGTGTCAGAAAGACTAGTCCCTGTTATTATTACTTTACTTAATCCAACATCCCATGCTCTCTTCAAAACAAGTTCCAGGTCAGCTTCATGCTTCTTGCTTCCATGATAAACTCCTTGGTACATGTCATCAGTCAGATTAGCACCAATATCTGTAAAAGAAGATACATACAGTACACACAATGCTCGACACCACTGAACTATGATAATAGTAAGCTCAGTAATATTGCACATATAAAGATAATGAAGAGCTTTGTTTACTGTACATTAGTAAGAAAAGAAATATTTTATAGCATTTTGTTGTGTCAAATTTTTGTCTGTTGTTAAAACCAGTTTTGTATTTATTTATTTATTATTTTTTTTTTCAACAAGTCGGCCGTCTCCCACCAAGGCAGGGTGACCCAAAAAAGAAAGAAAATCCCCAAAAAGAAAATACTTTCATCATCATTCAACACTTTCACCACACTCGCACATTATCACTGTTTTTGCAGAGGTGCTCAGAATACAACAGTCTAGAAGCATACACATATAAAGATACACAACATATCCCTCCAAACTGCCAATATCCCAAACCCCTCCTTTAAAGTGCAGGCACTGTACTTCCCATTTCCAGGACTCAAGTCCGACTATATGAAAATAACCGGTTTCCCTGAATCCCTTCACTAAATATTACCCTGCTCACACTCCAACAGATCGTCAGGTCCCAAGTACCATTCGTCTCCATTCACTCCTATCTAACACGCTCACGCACGCTTGCTGGAAGTCCAAGCCCCTTGCCCACAAAACCTCCTTTAGCCCCTCTCTCCAACCCTTTCGAGGACGACCCCTACCCTGCCTTCCTTCCCCTATAGATTTATATGCTTTCCATGTCATTCTACTTTGATCCATTCTCTCTAAATGACCAAACCACCTCAACAACCCCTCTTCTGCCCTCTGACTAATACTTTTATTAACTCCACACCTTTTCCTAATTTCCACACTCCGAATTTTCTGCATAATATTTACACCACACATTGCCCTTAAACAGGACATCTCCACTGCCTCCAACCGTCTCCTCGCTGCTGCATTTACCACCCAAGCTTCACACCCATATAAGAGTGTTGGTACTACTATACTTTCATACATTCCCTTCTTTGCCTCCATAGATAACGTTTTTTGACTCCACATATACCTCAACGCACCACTCACCTTTTATATATTATTATATATTATTATATATTATTAAATTTAGTGGAATACACGAAACCTGTAGAGGTCAAGGAGTGCTTGAGGAATTGGAGGCAATCAAGTTTAATCTAAAAAAAGGGGAGAACAGGTCCAATACCTTGAATCAAGATCCTCTTACTAGGCACCTTCTTAAGGGAGGTGCCAGTTAGAAAATCATGAATGAAACATGTAAAGGAAACTAAGAGAACAAAACTTGAACTTAGCAAATGAAAGTTGTCAATGAACATCACTATACAGTACTGTGCTATAATATACTATGCCTGTTTTAAGGAAGAATAAAAAGTTACAACGTGACCAGAAAGTCGCTAGAAGCCTGCACTTAGGCAAGGAACCTTATGATGAAGTCTCAGTTCATCCTGAACTGTTGTCAAGTTGCAACTGGACCATTGTGACTTGACAATGCTGCAGGATGGACCAAAACATCATCATCAGGTTACTCTCCTAAGTGTGGGTTTTGGGTGAATTGTTTTGAGGAAATTTACTTACTGCAGCATTATCGTAATTATAGCCTCTCCTCACTTAATGACGGAGTTCCGTTCCTCACATCACATCATTAAAGGAGTTCATCGCTAAGTGAGGAGCATACTATAAGGGTGGTGGGTTTGTGTCAACCATCTTTGATACTGTTTTAACCCTTTGACTGTTTTGGTCATATATATACACCTACCATCTGACTTACGACCAAGTTCGGTTCCGAGAAACCGGTCGTAAGTCGAAATGGTCGTAAGTCAAACTTTACTACTGAATATCAACAAAACATTTTTGTAATGACTATTTTATTGTTTTATTTTGGTATTTCATGTTTTATTTTACTTTTTATGTTGTTAGTACTGTATTTTATACTGTAAGGTTTAGGATAAACACTGTGTACAACACAAATAGTTGTTTATTTCCCAGAAATTTGGCATAAAAAACACGGTCGTAAGTCGAGTGGTCATAAGTCGAGCAGGTTGTAAGTCGGATGGTAGGTGTACGTCTTACGAGCCAATGTTTTTGACGTATTAATACACCAAAATTCTAGTGGCTTCAAATCAAGCAGGAGAAAGCTGGTAAGCCCACATGTGAGAGAATGGATCTCCAAGGTTAGTGTGTGCCATATAAAAAAATTGGGGAGCCAGTGGTGCATTGTGGGAATGCCATTTCAGTAGTCCTTGTTCAGCATGCCTAGCAGTAAGAAATATGCGACTCCCTGGCAAATCTGGGACACTTTTCTTCGCAAGTGATGTTCTAACATGGATGGAAGTGTCAGTGAAGATCAATTTCATGGTTTTGAGGAGTTTGTGACCAAAAGCAATGCCCAGGATACCAGAAGAAAGAAAGAGAAAGGGTAAAAGAGAATGAAGGATAATGAAAGAGAATGAAAGAGAATGAAGGAGAAAGAAACAGAAAGAAGGAGAATGGAGAAGAAAGAAAAAAAGAGAAAGAAGAAGAAAGAAGAGAGATAATTAGGTAGGAGGATGGAGGGGAAGCGAGCATCGGACCCCATTGTTTTGGCATGCGGTAGGGGGAGTGAGTAATGATACATCATTTTGACAGCTGCCAGACCCTGACTCAGCACATTTAGAAGTCCACACCCTCACACACACACAACACAATGAAAGTGTCCAGTGACTATATATGTGTATATGTATTATAGAAACCAGAAGGAAGGAAAGAATGAAGAAAGAAAGAAAGGTAGGTACATAGGTAGGTAGGAAGGAATGATGACACATTTACCTAGGATAACTACCTAACACAACTGTCTGCTACTACTATGAAGAAAACTGCTCAGAGAGTTGTTTTGTCTGTGCACATAAAAAAAAAAACCTACAAAAATGCAGACACACTCATGTGTGAGGAGTGTAAAACACCATTGTGTATGAAACCATGTTTCAAAGAGTTCCACAAGCTGCAGAACTTCTAGGAACATGTTCAGTGACTGGTCCCAAGATGCAACCCACACCAGTCGACTAACACCCAGGTACCCATTTTACTTTACAAGATTGACCACAATAACAAGAATTTGCTGTTTGTGAAAACTTGAGAGTAGGGGAGCTCGGCCAGCATTGGTGGCGTGCAAACCTGTCTTCTGAAGGCTCCTCAGTTGTTTGAGGTGGTGTAGACCCTTCTTTAGGCCCTGCTTCACCGTCTTTCTTTCTTGAGTGCTTGTGCTTTCAATGCTTTCTCTTTATCAGGCAGTGTTGTGTGGCCCATTTCTGGGGGATTAGACTGAGATGTCGTTCGCCCCTATAGGGGGGCACCCCCTCCGGTTCCTACTCAGTTGACAACTGTTTCATCACCACCGGACCATGATATGGCTATTGTGTCCCCTTTTGGGATAAATAAACAGGCCCTTGAGATTGATGATGGTGCCAGGCCCCTGTCTAGCCCAAAATGCCAACCAACTTCTGATCAAGACTATGCTCCTTATCCACCTTGAATCACTCCAGACATGATGGTGGTTCTTGTGCGTCCTAAGGATGGCGGTACATCCTTCACCAATCCACAGGAAGTCACCGATGCCATCAGTGGATCTCCTTTCGGTAAGGCCTGCATAGATGGGGTGTCCAGCAACTCAGTAGGGGTATAGCCCTAAGGCTCTGACTCCATCGTAAGTCTTTTCTGGCCAGAAATTTACCACTTAATACCAATCATGTCCTGGGTAGGTGGAATGTGGTCTGCTGGGAGGTACGCTCCTCAGTCCTCGCTGCCAGTTGTTCTTATAGCAGAACTGGTCCGATTTCCTCGTCCCTCTCAGATGAGGAGATCCACTCTGAATTGGTTTTAAGTGGGGGTGACGACTTAGGTTTGTGGGAAGTTTGGAGCCTCTCGACTTGTCCTGCCCCATCTCGTATGGTTCGTGTATGTTTCTCGAGTGCTCTCCCGAGATTTGTGACTTTTGGCAATCTAAGGTTTCGTGTTCTTCCTTATACTTTTCCTCTACTCCAGTGTCAGAAATGTTTCCTCTTTGGGCATGGAGAGCTGTCTTGCTGTGGTAAGGTAAGATGTGCGAACTGTAGTGGGTTTCACCCAGTCATTAAAGGTGGCATTACCTGTACCCGCCTGGCCTCATGTTACTTCTGTAAAGGGAACCACAAGGTTACATCCCAGTCTTGCCCAGAATATCGCCAGGCTCTTGATTTGGCAAACTCAGCCAGGGCCTAGTCTCTTTCACTCAATGAATGTAACTCCAGCTTGCAGTCCGTGAAGCCAGTAGCAGTCCATCAGCCCTTGCCTCCTTTGCCTCCAGTGCCCCCTACTAAGGGCATCCCCCCAGCACCAGTACGGCCAGGGCATCTGTACTCTGCAGCTGTGAAGGCTAATGTCCCCGTTTCCAATTGGTTTGTGGCTCTTGCAGAATTCTCTCTTCCTTCAGAGGATTTCCCACCCCCAGGGCAGCAGCATCTCAGGGTGTCTTCTGACCTGGCTTCCATTGCAGAAGTTATTACTCATGCTCCTCCTCATTCATGATGCATGTCCTCCCATCAAGGTGGCGCGGTTTCAAAATCGACTCGAAGTTCGGTGCCCCACCCAGTTCAAGTGGACCTCTTGCCCGACCCAGAGCCTCGTACCTCGCAGAGGTGTTCCCCCTTTAATTCTCCTCAATTCCAGCCCCAGCCTGTCCCTATTTCAGGACCCTTCACTACTGAGGGTTCCACTTTTTCACTCCCACCTGCCTGGGCTTCATTTCTTCGTCCTGTCTTCCTTTTGGTGGAGGAGGTGCTTCACTCCTTCTTACAGGGTGCCTCTTTTGTGAATGCATGTCTCTCGGTTCTCCCTCACCTCATTGGGCTTCTTCTCTGGAACGCTTGTTCCATATTGGGGAAGCTCCTGGACCTTTGGGAGTATCTGGCTGAGGTACAGCCACTAGTGGTGGGCCTCTCTGAGACAAGGTTGCATCCTCAACATTCTCTTCGGGTATTCGGTTTTACTGTTTACCGTAGGG